GAGAGAGAGAGAGAGAGAGAGAGAGAGAGAGAGAGAGAGAGAGAGAGCCCGCACAGGCAGACCCACATAACCTGTAAGAAAAAACCCCACAGGGTGAGTGAGCATGGGGAACAGGCAGGGTCTGCAGAGAATTTGGGGATGAGGTCCTCTGGGTCCCCCACCTCAGTCTCCTTGCCCTCCTCACCTCAGGCTGGGACTGTTCACTCTCTCGTCTTGGTTTGGCTCATAAAGATGGCTTGTGTTTCTTTTTTCAACTTAAAAAAAAAAAAACAAAGAAAAAGAAAAAAAAAAAGAAAGCAGAGATCCCCCATCCCACCCCACCCTCACCACCCTGTATGGGTTGGCTTAGGGGACGTGGGGGTGCCCCTCTCAGGCCACCCCTTGCCCAGGCCTGCGATATGCCTAGGTGAGCCTGGAGATAAAGAGAGAGGGGGGAGAACAGATTTTAAAATCCCCAAAACAGCAAAATGTGAAAGAGGGGTGTGGGTATCCCTACCCCAACCAAGTCCCTGAGTGGAATACAGGGAACAGAGGCGGGCAGGGCAGGAAACAGAAACAAAATGGAAAAACAGGGGGGTGGGAGGGGAAGAAAAACTCTATTTTTGTAAAAAGGGACAAAGACCTCGTGGAGAATTTTTACTGGGGATTCTTGAACTTGAAAAAAAAATCACAAAAAAAAGACAAAAAAAAAGAAACTATTTTGGCAGGTTACGTTTACCAACTAATGGGCAGGGGTGCAGGTAGTAGGGCTGAGGGGTGGGAGTCCATAGGGACACACACACACACACACACACACACGCACACACACACACACACACACGCAGAGGTATAGAGGGACATGTACTTTGACCTTGGGGATACACACACACACACGCAGAGGGATAGAGGGACATGTACTTTGACCTTGGGGACACACACACACACACACACACACACATTTAGGGGCACTAGGGACACATTCAGGAAAGTTGGCCAAACCCGCAGTGGGGGATGGAGACACACAGAGGTTTGGTTACATAAATGTGGGTACAGACATTGATGACTACTTATTCATGAATCTAAGTGGCTATGTTACGGCTGCTGTGGCAGATTTGTAGTAATCTGGCTGAACACTAGGTCCGGGAGGTGGGTTAGGGATGTGGCTCAGTTGGAAGAGCACTTGCCCAGCATGCATGAAGCCCTAGGTTCCATCTCCAGCACCTTACAAACCTGGTGTAATGGTGCACACCTGTCATCTTAGTACTCTGCAGATGGAGGCAGGAGGATCAGAAGTTCAAGGCCAGCCTTGGCTACATAGTGAGTTCAAAGCCACCCTGGGCTACAAGAGACCCTGTCTGAAAATACAAAAATAAAAAAACCAGGTCATCTAGACACACATCACCCAGGGGGACACACACATGTTCACAGCATCTCACAGGCCCAGGCAATAGGTTCCCACCCTATAACCAGTACCCAGTCACTTCCTCCAGCCAGGCTGGCCCAGTCCCTCCTCCCTAGCACCCCCTGACCCTCAATAGGCCCCAGCCCCAGGTTCTCTGCACAGATATCTCTTCAGCCCACCAGGGACCTCCCTGTTGCCCACCACACAGGCGTGCACACACGGTGTCCATGCATCCAAACACATGATACCTCGTACTTTGGCAGCACCGTGGGCTGGAGGTGGCCCTCACTCCCCACAACACTGAGGCCAAAGGAGCCCCCTGTCCCTGGGACTCAGCCTCCCTAGGTTCAGGGGGAGGCCCAGCCTGGTGTCTCCTTCCCACCCAAAGTAGGGCCAGGCTTTCCTGATTTGCAGTAAGCACCCAGCACACCCCACAAGGCCCAGGGGTGGGTGGGCCAGGGATCCCTCCCACATCCCTTCCCATCTACTTGTCACCCATTGTTGGGTTGTTTTTTTTCCGTCTTTTTGGACTGGGGGTGGGGGACTATGGACGCAGCCTGCCTCTGGAGCCCAGGCCCTGGCTTCTGACTGGATTTTTTGCATCTGAACCCCTGAATCTTGACTTTTCATTCTTTTATAAAAATTCCAACAGAAGCCACAGGCTGGAGCCTCTGGGAATCCCTGAACCTCCCCCCGCCCCAGCCCAGTCACAACGGAGAGTTGAGAAGCCCCCCGACTCTGGTTCTAGTTGCTTCCGGTGTCCCTGTGTCTGGTGTCTGGCCATGGCCCCATTTGAACGTCCAACTCTCTCTCCCCATCCCCTCCTGGTGTTGTTTTAAACGTCTGTGGAGTTTCTGCTGCAACAAAAAGAAAAAGAAAAAAAAATTTAAAAAAAGACCAAAAAGAAAAAAAAAGAAAAAGAAAAAAAGAAAAAGAAAGTTCACAAACAGAAGAGGAAAAAAGCAACAGGAAAAAAAAAGGAAAAAATACAGAAGAGATTTTAAAAAAAGGAAAAAAGACAAACTGGCATCAGTTAACTTTCTTGTACCTTTTTGCTGAATTTAGCTTCTTGTAGTTTTAACTTATTGCTATGTTAACTATTTATTACCCATGTTGCCCTGTAAGGACATTTGTGTATATTTCTGTTATTTCATCCAGTTTGCGAATTTAAGGAAGATGTTCTCTCTGTTTCATTCAGTTTTGCTAAAACGTGGTTATGCCTAATTTATTTATAGAAAGGGGAAGTGGAGTCATTCAAGTAATAATTATTAATTAATAACAGTGATGGTAGCAGAGCACCTGGGATGCCATGGATCCTGTAGGATGGGGTGGTGGGGGCCAGGCCCCACAGCCTGCGACATCCCGGGGTTCTCATGGGATTTCTTTTTGCTCTTGTCTTGAGAATTTTTCTGTCTATTTAGCTGGTAAAAACTCTGGCTTGTTCACAATACACCAAACCTATTTATTCTTGTGGTTTTTTTAAGTCCTCCCTTATCCTTTCCCCTCCCTTCCGGCAGGGTAGGGACCATCCCCCCTCAGGGGAGGGGTCCAACCCTTTCTTTCCCTGCTGTTTCTGGGGTCTCCCCTCTGCCCTCCACACGTGCTGGAGGCATCCGAGCAATAAGGGCTGGGTTTGTCCCCTACCCTGGGGGGGATCAGGCTCTAAGGAGGGGGCACCTCCTCCAACATCCCCTCCCAATGAGACCTAGACCCCTGTGCTCCCAAGCATGGGAGGAGGGGGGCTTTTCTTTTTCTAACACAAAGCTCAGCCCAGCCAGCCCCGGCAAGGGGGCCAGGCCAAGGGCTCCCAGGGGAGGGGCCCCTGGGTCTTCCAAAGTCCCTGGGGCTCAGGGGCAGGGCCAGCGGGGAGGGGGTCAGCCCCTCCAACCTTCCCTTCATCCTGTTATTTATTTGGAAGGTTTCAAACCACTATGACAGAGCCCATTTGGAGGTGATATAAAGAACTGTTGAAAAAACAAACAAAAAAATCCCTCAACCCAAATCCCACAAGAACACCTGGAGTTGTGTTTAGATTATTTATTACCAAGATCCCAGGCCTGGCCGTGGTAACAGACTTTTACATGGAATTGTTTAATTATTTGTACTTTTCATGCCAGAAAATAAAAAAGTTCAGAATCTTAGACATCTTGGATGATTTGTGAAGCACTGTGCAGGGGTGATGCTTGGAGATCACGCTTGGATAAGGGTGCTTGCTGTGTGACCTGTGGCAAGCTACTATAGCTCTCTGTGCCTGGGGTTGATACTGACCTTCTGTCTACTTATTACCAGTTGCTAAGCAGAAGTCGGGCTGTGGTGCCCACCTGAGGCTGAGGGAGGCCCAGGCTGCATACAGCTGCTTCCCAGGATTAGCTACTTTTTCCTCCCTATGGCAGTTCCAGGGTACAGTCCCATCTCAGCAGGGAGTGTGTAGCAGCAAGAGCTGGAGGCAGCTGGTCTTACTGCATGTGCAGTAAGGAAGCAGAGGCTGGCAAGATCGCTCAGCAAGTAAAAGCACTCGCCACCAAACCTGATGACCTGTTTATTCTCTGGGAACCACGTGGTAGAAAGACAACAAACCAACTCCTGCATATTGTCCTCTGTATACGCACAACTTTTTTTTTTTTTAAAGGAAGCAGGGGATTGGAGAGATAGCTCAACGGTTAAGAGCACTGGTTATTCTTGCAGAGGATCCAGGGTTCCTGGCAATCACATGGTGGCTCATAGCTGCCTATAGCTCCAGCTTTAGGGGATCTGATGCCTTTGGCCTCCTTGGGTACCTATATACACACGGCATACGTTCAGACACAAACACACATACACATAAATTAAAATCGTGAAAAAAAACCAACCCCTTTAATCCCATCACTCAAGGAGGCAGAGGCAGGCAGGTCTCTCTTAAGATCAATGCCAGCCTGGTCTACATAGCAAGTTCCAGGCCAGGCGGGGCTACACAGTGGGACCCTGTCTCAAACAAAATAACAACAACCTCCACACACCCTCTTCCCAAAAGAACCCAAACAAACAAAAAACCCAAAATGGTGTCCAGTGAGGAGGCCCAGCGGATGAGATGGCTCAGCGGTTAAGATGCTTGCTATCTATCACGTCTGACAACCTGATTTCAGTCCCTGGAGCTTTCAAGGAGGAAGGAGGAACCAAGTCCAGAGGTTTGTGTCCCAGGCAATTTTAGATCCTGTCAAGTTGACCAGATTAACCATATCACCCACACTTGTCCCCCTCTATGGGCAGTAACGAAGGCAGACCTAGCCAGGTATGGTAGAACAGGCCTGTAATTCCAATACCTAGGAGACTGAAGCAGGAAATAGTTTGAGGCCAGACTGGGCTACACAGTAAGACCAAGACTTTTTAAAAAAAAAGGCATATGTAGACAATGTTAGGGGAAGAGTCACATTTATTGTTAAGGTCACAGGTCAAGTCATCCTCATCCTCATCAGCTGGGGAGGTAGAGATGAGGGGATGCAGGTATTAACCCCATCCTGGGGAATCCAGGGAAGGCTAGCTTCTTTATTACATTTCTGGAGGCCACTGGAGCATAAGACCACAGCTCGGCTAGCTTGGTCCCCAGGAATGTGACCTGGAGCACCACTGGATACCTGCTACCTGGAGGAGGGCCAGGAACCCCAGCTTGGTCCTTTAGAGGGGCAAGCCTTGGTCCACAGACTGCAGAATGTCTTGAGGTTCTAGGGTAGAAGAAGACAGAATTAGAAAGCCAGAAAGGCTGGGTGGGATAGGGCACAGTAGTAGAACAGGCTAGTCTTAGAACAGTCTGGATTCTATCCACTGTAAAACTACAATCTTAAAAAGATGGACAAGAGTCCAGCTGTGGTACAGCATGCCTTTAGTCCCAGAACTGGGGAAGAGGCAGAGGCAGGTGATCTCCCTGAGATTAAGGCCAGCCTGGTTGACATAGCAAGTTCCAGGCCAGTGCAGCTACAGGGAGATGCCACCCCCCCCAAAGAAAAACAAACAAAACACAAATAGGGCTGAAGAGATGGCTCATTGGCTAAGAGCACTGACATCGCACACATGGATGTACTTACATACAGGCAGGCAAACTACTCATAAAATAAAAACAAATGAATAAAAATTTCAATTAGCAGCACCCATAAACTGGGCAATGTAGCACAGGTTTGTAATCCTAGCATCTAGGAGGTGGAGGCAGGAAGATTTCAGAAATGATCAAGGCTAGCCATGGTTATATAAAACAAAGACTCCCATCTTTTTCTCTTTTTTTTTGTCTTTTTGAGACAGGGTCTCCCTGTAGCCCCAGCTGGTCTTGCACTCAAAGATCCACCTGCTGGGATTAAAGGCGCACACCACCGCGCCCAGCAAAAACCGAATCTTTAATTGTCCTCTGCCTGTCATCTTTGTGCGTGCACGCGCACACACACACACACACACACATACACACACACACACAATTAATTAAATGTAATTTTTAAAACAAAAAAAGATGGTAGCAAGCGCCTGTACTTCTAGCCCTGGGGAGGCAAATCTCTGTGAGTCTGAGGCCAACCTGGTCGACATAGTGAGTACCAGGCCAGCAAGGGCTACACAGTGAAACCCTGTCTCAAAAAAAAGGGAGAAAAAAAAACATGAAATATGTTTTTCATTATGAAAATAATGGAAAGATTAAAAAGTCAGGGGCACAGGCCAGTAGGGCCAGTGCCTGCACATCTGGCAGGCAGGCCTACTTCCTCACCACAGACTAGAGCTCGTCATGGTCACCATCAGTGGGTGTTTCAGGCGGTGGTTCTGGGCATGCTGCTGGGGTCATCAGCTCCATGAGGTACTCACAGCGACTGGGCTCTGTGGTACTGGTTACCACTGTCTCCTTCCCGCACAACAGGCGCACCTGGGGAATGGGGACCAGGCAGAAGAAATGCTACACCTGGCCAGGCCAAGTTCCCAGATCTCTGGGTCAGGCACTCACTGTGGTGGAGCGGTTGGGGCCCTGCCAGCAGCCGGTGCCCTGCTCATACTTCATGGCACTGAATTTGTCGTGGTCAGGACCAGCCCATGAGCTCCACGTGCTGCAGGAGAGAGCAGGGATGCTGAGGGCCAAGCCTGTGGACAGTAGGGGGCAAAGGGGATGGAATCCAGCCTCGACCCACTCACCCAAGGTTGGTGGGGGAGCCTCCATGTTTGGGTTTCTGGGAGACCAGTTTGAAGGGGCAGAGCCGGTAGACATACCTGAGGACAGAGATGTGATGCTGAGTGTAAGGACATGCGGACCTCAGAATCCTCACGACTGCTCTGCCCTTCTCAAACCCCACTGGCCGTTGTCTTGTGTGGAGAGCAGCTTCCTTTTTCTGAGACAGAGTTTCATGTGGCCCAGGCCAGCCTCAAACTTGCTAAGTAGCTGAGCTTGGCCTTGAACTCCCTGATCCCTCTGCCTCTATCTCCCAGAGTTTTGTACAAGCTAGGTGAGCACTCTACGAGCTGAACTATAGCCTCTACCACCTTCCCTTATAGAAAAAAAAAGTTTAACTGTGTCTGCGTGTGTGTATGTGCATAGGAGTGTAGATGCCTCTATGGAGGCCAGAGGCATCAGATCCCTAGAAGTTAAAGTCAGTTGTAAGTCACTTGACATGGGTGCTGGGAGTTGAACTTGGGTCCTCTGCGAGAGTAGCACATGCTCTTAACTGCTGAGCCATCTCTCCATGCACACCCCCCCCCCACCAAATACTTATGTTTTGGTTTTTGAGACAGGATCTTTCTTCCTATAGCCCCAGCTGGCCTGGAACTCACTATGTAGACCAGATTGGCCTTGATCTCAGAGATCCACCAGACTCTTCCTCTTGGGTGCTGGGGTTAAATGGTACATCACCATGCCTGGCAATCTATTTTATTTTTAAGTACGTTGTCTGTCTTTGCACTACAGTGCAGTACCCACAGAGATCACAAGTGTCAGACCCCTTGAAGCTGAAGTTAGAGATGGTTATAAGCCTCCCGATGTGAGTCTTGGGAATTGAACTCCAGTTCCTCTGTGAGATAGTATGTGCTCTCACCTGCTAAGCCATCTGTCTAGCCCCTAACGCCCCACTTTTTTTAAGCAGGGTCTCACACTGGAGCCCAGGCTGTCTCCCAACTTGAGATCCTCCTGCCTTAGCGTAAGATGGCAAGAGTGGGCAGCAATCCCCTCTGCAACTATCCATCTGTCACCCCTCACCCCCATCTCTACCCCTACCCCCATCCTGGGACATACTCATTGGTGGTGAGCTCGTAGCACTGGCTGTAGAGATATGCGAACTCCCCATGGGGGCCAAAGTCGAAGGATATCTCTTGTTCCAAATTCCTAAAAAAGCAGGCACAGTGGTGAGGGGGAGCAGAGATTAGATCCTAACACAGAGGGGCCCAGCTGTGTGGCAGATGGATACAGGGCTGTGCTGGGGCCCTGTAAGAGCTAGGCTGGAGGCCTCCTGGCTGGCACCTCCTTCAGAGAGCTAGCAGCAGACAATGGCCAGACATGTGGTGGCTTGGTACCCATACCTGATGGACTCTTCCATCTCTTTCAGGGATCGCTCGGCTTCCCCAAACTTGTTCCGGGCCTCTTGCGCAGCTGAGGGAGGGTGAGAAGTCAGAATGGACCCCAGTTCTATGTGGGAGGTCACAGAATGAGATCCCACAGAGAATGTGCCAGCCGCCACTCACAGTCTGGGTTTGTTCCACTCATGGATGGCCTAGGGAAAGCCCAGGAAACCTTGCCAGCTGCAGGGCAAGCCCTACCCTGCTTGTGAGCTGCCTGGCTCCCCAGGGTGCTGGGCCAGGGCTAGGGACTAGCTGGCTCCTGGCATGCCAGGTGCATTATAAACAAGTACAACCCAGGGGGAGGCAAGAGGACTCAGGACAGGCCACAAGGGCACCATGAGGGCTGGTGGCACATCCCTACTGGCATAGGCAGAGGCTGGGACCTATCCCACCTGGCACTCAGGCCCCTGCTCACCAGTGATTAAGGCCTGTGTCTGCTCATCGTAGGGTGGCATCTTTTCCTCCTCCTGTGGAGGGCTGGCAGGCTGAGGGGGCTGCAGTGGGGGTGAGGTCTCCTGGAGACAGGGAGAAGCCAAGTCAGCAGGCAGCTCTGCCCACTGCTCTACCCAGCCTTCTCCCAACACACACCTTGGGTTGTTCCCCCTGCACCTCCTCCTCCTCCTCCTCCTCCTCCTCCTCCTCTGGTTCCTCCTCATCCTCTTCCGCCTCCTCCTCTTCTGTGGGTGGCGAGGGCACTGGCAGCTGTTCCTCTTTAGGCTCAATCATATTCGTGACTGAAGGTGCGGGTATGTCGGTGGGTTGCACCTGGCAGTCCCATGAGTGTAGTGTTCAGTGCTGGGAACTTGGGGAGAACCCCATACTGGCTCACACCACAAGTGGAAGGGGTGTCCTCCATGTTCTCACCCCTTCTAGAGAGAGGAATGGGCAGTCTCCCTGGGGAATACCTGGGCCACCCAGCTGGCCAGGGTGGCTGGGTGCCAGCACCAGAAGTGGGGGCTTTGTGGGGTTGGGAGGCAGGGAAAAAACCATCTCTCCTCCCCACAGACCTCAAAGCGGTACTTGTCCCTGATGGCCGCCCAGACACGGTCATAGAAAGAGGCGCTGTCCATCTGTGTGTCCCCGCTGAGGAGGGCCTGTGTGTGTTGGCGTGAGGTCAGGATAGGGGGTACCACACCCTTACCCTGCCTCAGGCACTCAGAGTGGGGACCTCAGCTATGATGCTAGACGCAGGGCCTGGGTTGGAGCCCTGGGGATCAGACCTCAGCAGGAGGGGTCAGGTGCTGTAGCCAGGAAGAGGCAGCGCAGGCCTGAGGAGAGGAGGTACCAGGGACTGGAAGATACATGGCAGGGAGACTAGGAGACATCAGGGCAAGATGAGACAGAGACAAACAGTCACAGTGCCAGAGTGCTGCAGGCCGAACAAAGCCCAGGCCCAGGAGGGACAGGAAAGGACCAGAAGCCAGCATAGATAAATGGAGGGGCAGAGCCAGGACAGGGCTGGCCAGCAGAGAGGAAGACAGAACTGAAGGCCCAGGGCCAGGCCTATGGGACACATACTGGGGCAGCCAGTGGAAGGTGGGGAAGCGGGGGCTGGTGAATGGGAGGGACAAGCGTAAGACAGGCTCCATGCTGCCCTGATGCTACCCCAGGGTCCCTTCAGATGGCTAGTCTCCATTCGGTCTCACACAGATCAAAACAGCCCCACCTCAGGCCAGCAGTGAGCTTCCCACCAGAGCCACTCACAGCTGGACTGACCACTCATCCTGAAGTGAGCCTGGACCAGTGCTCCCTCCAAATCCCAGGATAAGAGACAGGCTGGAGTACCTGAGCTTCCCCTTCAGACAGTGCCCCATCTCCATCTGTATCCAACTCCAGGTGGGTCTGCAGCTCAGCCACGGAGACCCTGAGGGAGTACAGAACAGGAACAGTGAGACTCCTGACTCCCTGTGGGATTCAGGCTTCAGAGAACCACCCTGGACATCCTTCAGGGCCTCTAAATGTTGTAAGTGCAGGGGACAGGAAGTTGGGAGGAGGTGGGGTTGGGTTGGGAGGAGCAGGTCTCAGTTACCTTCCACTCCCTAAGAGCTACCAAACTCTGAAAGTGCTCAAGGCAGAGATGGGGGAGGGGTGAGACCTCTATATTCCCAAACCCTCTTTTCCTGACTCACCTGTTTCTGTCCTACACCCCAACACACCAAAGCTACCCACAGCCCACTGGCAGTGGAGGCTCACACCTGCAACCCCAGCACTTAGAGGGCTGAGGCAACAGGATTGCCAATTTGAGGCCAGCCTGGGCTACATGGGGAATTCAAGGTTAGTCTGAGCTAGAATAGCCTGTCTCAGGCTGGGATGAGGAGTCCCCCAGCAGGGAGTGTAGTCACACTTACACCCCATCCAGATTATCATCCAGTTCCTGGAAGGCGTTGGTTGCCAGCTCCTGTTCCCGCCGGGCCTTAGCAAGGACCTGCTGCTCTGTGGAGGGGGTGGGGTTGGGGAGTAGGGGGTTGTAATTCACTCCATCACCCTGTGCCACAACCTGCCAAATCCCACCACCTCTGAAACTGGCCTTCACCAAAAGCCAATTTGAAAAGCTGAGCCCAGCCTTATGCTCTCAGGGAGGGAGGACAGATTTAGAAACAAGGTGAACAGGTGAGGGGCTGGTAAGATGACTCAGTGGGTAAAAGGTACTTGCAGTCAAGCCTGAGGATCTGAATTCAATCCTACATATGGTGGAAGAGACTGACTCCTACAGGCTGTCCTCTGACCTCTTCATGCACACTGTGGCACACACATGCCCCTCCCAATAAATAAATGTAAAAATAACAATTATATACATATATAAAGATGAACGAGTAAAGCCTAGCAGTACAGGAGTAGGGATAAGTGGCGGGGGCTGGGCTGGAAATGCTGGGGCAAGAGAAGGACTGGGGACTGGGAAGGAAGAAAGAGGGAGTATTGGGAGACTGGGGAGACTCCAAAACAGAACCCACCCATCACACCCACTTCATAAGGAAGTGCCCCAGTTCTTTCCATGACCTGCAGGGCCCTGGTTGACCTGTCCCAGTGACCTGACCTTCCTCTATTCTCCTCACCTACAACCTCCAGTCACTGGTCTTTTCTGACTTGACAAAGGGTCTCATGTAGTCCAGGCAGGACAACTCATATGTAGCCAAGGTGACCTCGAACTCTTGATCTTCCTGCCCCTAACTCCCAGGTGCAGGGATTATAGGCCTGCACTCCCACGTCTGTGTTTCCCCAAGCCTTTTTCCCTTTTTTTTTTTTTTTTTTTTTTTTTTTTTTTTTTTTTTTTTTTCTGAGACAGGGACTCGCTACATAAGCTAGGCAGGTCTGGAATTCATAATCTCTCACCTTAGCCTCCCAAGAGCTGGGATGGCAGATACGTGCCACCATGCTTGCCTTTTTGTCTGTTTTGATAAGGTCAGGTAGGACAAGTAGAACTGAAATCAAAGACTAAGGTAGGGGAGTCTGATGGGAGATCCAACCACCTTAGCAAGGCATCTTCTCAGGGACAGGCTAGGTCAGAAATAACTCATATACAATGTGGATGGATGGGAACGTGGTTCAGAGGTAGAGCACCTGCCTAGAACCCTCCAGTGTGGGGCTGAGGGCAGGGCTCAGTGGTAGAGCAAGGAAGGGCTTGCTTGGTGTGTAAGGTCCTGGATTCCATCCCCTCTACTGGGAGGAGCTGCACACTGCCTGAGAGGTCAAAGGAATCTCAAACCTTGGACTTGGGACGACCTGGGTGACAGTGTTCTGGGAACTACACAGAAGGAAATTAGTATCTAGAGAAAGATCTCTTGTCCAAGGCTACAAAGTATTCCTACAGTTCTTAAATGTGATGACAGTCAAGGAGGGCACACATGGAAATGTGCAATAATAATAGCAACAAATTAGTTGAAATGCCTATAATCCTAGCACTCAGGAGACATGAATCAGGAGAATTACCCCTAGCTTGAGGGCAGCCTGGGGTATATATATAGTAAGACTCTGTCTTGGTGGGCATGGTGGAGCACGCCTTTAGTCCCAGCACTGGGGAGGCAGAGGCAGGTGATCTCTGTGAGTCTGAGGCCAGCCTGGTCTACATAGTTAGTTCCAGGCCAGCTGTGGCTACAGATACCCTGTCTCAAAAAAAACAACCAAATTCTGTCTCAAAAACAAAAACCAAAACAAAATAGGGAGTAGAGAGATGGCTCAGCAATTTAAGAGTGCTTATTGCTCTTCCAGAGGACGTGAGTTCAATTCCCAGCACCTACACTGGTCATTCATAACTGCCTATAACTCCAGCTCCAGAGGGATCCAACTGGCATTGGAGGGCACCTACACTCACTTGCACACTGCACACCTTCACACAATTAAAAAAAAAAAAAAAAAGGCGGGTGCGGTGGCACACACCTTTGATCCCAACACTAGGGAGGTGAAGACTGGTGGATCTCTATGAGTTCTGGTGGATTGCTGTGAATTCAAGGATAGTCTGATCAATATAGTAAGTTCAGGCCAGCTCTGGCTACACAGAGAGACCCTGTCTCAAGAAGACAAGAAAAAAAAAAGGAACTGCAAAGCAGCTTAAACAGCCAGTGAGCAGCCCCTCAGCGCACCTTCCCATAGCTTCCGGTGCTGCTCTTTGGCCTCTTTCTCTGGCTTCTCAGCTTCCTCCTTCAATGTCCTCAGGATCTCCACCTGGTCTTCCAGAGACTTCTTTCTGGTCTGTAGCTCAAGGAGCTTACTCTAGAGTGAGGGAGTAGGAATAGAAAGCGAGAGGCTTGAGCCTGGCTTTCTCATTGTCCCCTCTGATCCCCAGGGCAGCCCTGAGATCTTTCCAAAATACTCCATCACACCATCATAAGGTCTCCCAACTTTGCTGTGGTTCCCTGTAGCCCCCTGGGGAGGCCAGAACAACCAGATACAGCCCAGGAGGCCCTGTGTGAGCAGCCCCTTCTCCAGTCTTACCTGGTCCATCCTTACCTTTAAAAATTTTACTTGCATTTACTTATTTATTTTATGTGTGCATGTGCCACAGTGTGTGTGGAGGTGAGAGGACAACTTGTGGGAATCAGTCCTCTTTTTCCACCATGTGGGTCCCAGGAATCAAACTCAGGTTGTCAGGCTTGGTGGTAAGCACCTTTACCTGCTGAGCCATCTTGCCGGCCCTCCATTCCTGTCTTAAAACTCAAAGGCAGGCTGGAGAGATGGCTCATTGGTTAACAGCACTTCTTGCTCTTCCATAAGAACTGAGTTTGATTTCCAGCACCCACCTCAGGTGGCTCACAACAGCTTGTAACTCTAGTTCAAGGGCATCCTACACCCTCTTTTGGCCTCTGTG